AATAATGTGACGTTTGTGATTTGTGTTCCAAAAAATCATCTTTTTAAATTAGAAATTATCTACAACCAAAGATATCTCGGGCAAACTATTGAAAATGAAAAATTTCCTAGTTCGGAATTAAACAAATTATATTAATTATAGGCTTGTGAATTTATAAATTCAATGAGTTAAAAAAAATTTTTAAAATACTTTTTAAAATTATTGTTTATAAACACCTAATCAAAAAAAAATATAAAACTCCTTTGATTAAATGATATAATATAATTTAATTGTTTAAAAAGTAAAGTATAAACAGAATTAAAAAAAATTGATATTTTTTTTTATAAAATAAAATTTTATTTTTATTGCTAATATTTATTTGTTTACATTGTTACAAATTTTTTTTTAACATTCAATTGTTGATTTATTAATAAATCCGATTGCTGGACAAAATAGCACCACTAGTAGCAAAAATTTTGATATAACTTCTGAAATAAAAAATTAAGTTTTTCTACTATTTCTAATGGAATTATTTTATATTAGCCAAGAATTTTCTAAATTTAGCTACTTTATTATTATTATCATCATGACCATCATCAAAAAGGTGCTCTTTGAAAAATTTACATAATATTTTTGTTTTTAAATGTGAATTCAGGATATTCATTATAAATTAAATGATTTCTAGGCTACTTTGATGATATTACCAATTTGATCCATTAATTATAATAATTTTTACAATAACTACAATTAAACTGGCGAATAAAAACTTGCCCATTATGAGAAAAAAATTTAGAATTGACAAACTGGAGAGCTCAAAGCGGATGCACAAAGACAATTGTCAATTCCGCGGGCAGCCGTCGTCGTCGGGCTTGTCTCTTTGCTGACAAAATTGAAAAGTGACGCCAGTCGACAGCGTCACGTGCGCATCGTGACTTCTTTTGAGTCGCATCGCCACCCATCCATCGGCGGGTGCATCGCTTCTTGTGCGATGAATTTTGATTTTGCTTGGCACACGACCACGATCCGCCCACGGCCGCGGCGGCTTGGCCATTGTAAAGAAAAAGAAGAAAAAAAAAAACACCTTCGGATATGCGAAAGAACACGCCCTGACTGCGGCCGTACATTAGCATCTTTAATGCATGAAAATAAAAATATGATCTGTGCATTTATTTGCACACGGCTGACAAATCAAGGACAACCACGGGGACTAAAGATGTTGGAGGGAGATACGCGTAGATCCACAATTTTAATCAATTTGAATTGCGAATTTTGTACATCAAGGAGCATTTTAGGTTCAAGAAATGTTTATTGGGTTCGAATTTAGGGCAACTATGCCCCATACATGAACTCATCCAAATAAATGACAAAAACGATTTTAAGGATCTAAATCAATGAAATGAAGAAATATAGACCTACGCTTAGATGGTAAATGGGAAGCCTTACAGAATTAGACCCCAGGTTATGATTTCGGAACATTTGGCAAGATAATTACTCATTGTTGTAGCAAAGTATGTAATTTTATTTATGGAATGTTTTTGAATGAAAACTATAGAAAAAAGCTGGCTATACTTTAGTCATTATTATTAATTCTTCTCGGTCGATGCAAACAATTCTTTCATCAAACGCTTTAAAAAAAAATCAAGCATAAAATCTCTTCTAATTTCATTATTTCGGACATTATTTCAATTGCTTTTGAAATTGGAGAAGATTAAAAAAATTTTAATAACAAGTAATATTTCTTTTTATAAAAATAAATTAAAAACAGTTCGAATTTGATGTGCCTACAAACTATACACAATGTCCACAGTGATAAACAAATCTCACTCAAAGTCTCAGGCTCTGGCTTGGAGATAAATTAAAGGGTTTAATTTGCCGCTTCCTTCCAGCCTGCCATTGTTGTTGACGTCGTAAAGAATCGCGAGAATGGGCGGTGCATGCCGGCGACGCATTAAAATTGTATTATTTATTCGGTCGGCGCTCATTACGCCAAATCCCAACGGTGGCACTTTTGAATTTTAAGTCGCTCTCGTCATGCGAACAGAGTGTGGATGTCTCTCTCTCTCTGTGTCGTGCAAAATATAATACTCTAGCTTTAAAATTTTAATGGAAATTTATGCGGCAAAAGTTGACGCTCGCGTTTTACTGCTGCATTTCAGCTCTGGGTACGAGTGTGCATGAAAAGTTTCGGTGTGACGAAATTTCTCGTCGACAAAGAGACGTACCAAGAGGCGTAAGAACGGCGATAAATCAAGGGGCGCCTAGTCTCGTCGGATATCTCTCAAAAGAGCGAGGATGAAAGACAACGAAAGAAAGAAAGCATCCCGCTGTTGATGTGGGATTTCTTCAAATTACTTGCTCGCCTCCTCTCGTTTAAGCCGCGCCGGGGATGAAATAAAAAGCTCAAAGGATTAAAAAAAAAAATGGGGTGTACACGTATGGTCTGGTGTGCATTGTGCAAGCTGCAGATTTTTATCACTCATTTTGCTCCTCGACCGCAAAGCACAGAGGCATCTCCGCCGCGTGATAAATCTCCACTTTCTTTTATAATCACTCTCGAACTGGCTCCTTTGACCGCTTTTGTAAAAATTTTAATTAAAGAAGCTGCATACACAATTTTAACTATAAATTTTTGTTGATTTTGCTTCGATTGAATTTAAGATTATTAATTTATATGCTGTCAAGATAAAAGGAATTAAGGACGGAACTTGAAAGGTTTTAAAATTTTATCTATTAGTTAATAAAAAATAAAAAAACAATTTGGTCATTTTAAAATGTGGGTTTGAATCCACTTTGAAAAAAAAATTTTTTCCAAAAAAATGTTTTTCTTAAAAAATATGGGGTATATATTTATAATTTATACACAAAAAATTCTAGTGATTTTTAATTTTTTTCGAACTGTCACTGTCTCTCTGACACTTAAAAAAAGCTCAAGTTAGAGGTGTAAAAACTGATCTAATTTATTTATAAATCCAAACTTCTTTTGAATAATAATGAAAACCTGTTGGCAAAAAGTAGTGTTGCTCTCACTGGTTAATTCTCTGTGCAAGGAATCAGATATGGTTAGTTCATGTCTCGGGAAAACAAGATAAAAGTAGCCAAAGAGTGCGCTGGCCGACGCTTTTTGCAGTTGCCAAAAAGCAACACCTCCGAATGTAAGCAGTGGAGTTGGAGCTCGGCCAGTGAGCGACAAAAAGCGGAAAGAGCGACCAAAAACACACCAGCAGTTTTCAGTTCTAAATCTTTTCCTGTCGCCTCTCGTCCGAATATCGTTCCAGTACTTTCAGAATTAATTAATAGTGGCCTGCATTTAGAAGTGCTGGCTGGTTGGCTACTCGATTGAAATGCTGGTACGTCTCTTAAATTCTCGCGCTAATAAATTATATCACGCACAAGCGCCTATTAAAAGCAGGCGGATCGAGTTGCGCTTGGAAATAAATTCAGATCGCGTGGTGTCGCTCTTCAAAGGAGCAGAAAAGCAGCCTTGCTCTCATTAGTTTCAACGAAAGACGCAATTAAAAGAAGTGTCGCACCGAGTGGCCATTCATTCAATGCCTCTTCATAAAGGTCACAGTTCATGGAAATAGAAGCTCTTTGCCAATTCCATCGTTCATGAAATGCAATTCGTGCAATTAAAATACTCAATTGGAGTTCATATCAAAACTTCAAAACATTTTTCAAGCGCTCATAATTCTCAACAATTCTCTCAAAAAAAATCTTAATAAATTTTATACTAGTTTCCAATTTTTTTTTTCAACATTAATCCATTCATTTATATTATAAATTTTATAATGACCAAATTTCATGAGAATACATATTTACTTTGAAAATCAACTAGCGCAGAATTGTTTTTAATAAAAAAGATGAAAATTAGATTAATTTTTTGACATATTTTGTATTAACTTAAGAAGCATTCATTTTAAATAGCCCGATTAAATAAATTCTTAAACTCCTTTTATTCTGTAGAGTTTTCTGTCCGTTTTTAGTTATAGTTCCAATTAGTTGCAAAGGAATTTTGTTGGGTTCATGAACATAGGCAACTTTACCCCACATTATCATCACGTTATCTGCAAATCAAAGAAGTTATCAATGAATTACATTGATTGATTGAGGACAGGCCATAAAGATTTTGTCAAAATATTACTATAGACCTGGTTGTAAACAAACAAAGTAACATTTTTTCATTAATAAAAATATAAATCAAAATGAAATTATTATTAAAAATTTATTGAGCACCAACGGTGTATGTATACATATGTACATGTTATTAAAAAAAACACACTCTAAGAAAAATTGTTCAAAGTTTGACACAATGAAATTAAGAAACAAAATTTGGCAAATATCCAAATTTGCTGGAATTTTTGTGCATGATCAGAATGTGAGATTTCCATAAAATAGTTTGATATTTTAATAAAATTTAATTATCAGGGTTCCGAATTTGGAAAATTATATTTTTTAATGAATTTGCAAAATATTTTAACGGACGATAAATATTTAATAATTTATGTCATACTCTAGTTTGTAGTTAAAGGTTCAATAAAAATATTTCCCACGCAAATTGTGCATCAAAGTTTGGAAATTTTGAAAAATTAACTTTTTATAAAAGACATGCTTAAAAAAATTTGTTCCTTAAAAAGCAATAAAACAAAAATTTCCTCCACAGACTCAGTCTACTTGAATTTTTACACTGTTTGAAGGAGCGATTTTCCGCATGCTCGGTCGTATAAAGCTGGTCGAAAGTCTGCTCGTGTGTGTTTTGCAACGTGTCGTCTTTCTTTTTACGTCCACAACTATAGGGTTTACGTATAATTTAGTTTTTTGCACAAGATGAGACGATGCGCTGGGGGCAAGGCAATTTTCTATCGATTTGCACATAAAATAGGAGTTAAGCAGCTCTCGGAGGCCCCGATCACAAATTAGCTCTCGTGTGTTGCCAAGCCGAGATGAATATTATGGCCGCGACCAAGCTTTGGTGTTGCTTGCTTAGTCCTACCCCAAGGTAGATGTGTTTGCGTCACCACGGCCCACATTCGCCGACAAACAGCCCCTGCTGCTGCTAAGCAAGAAGAAGCTCGTCGTTTTTCTATTTGCGCCACCGTGAATCACTGCGCGCTTCTTTCGAACGTATTTTTCGCCCGCAGCACGCTACTTTTTGCTTGACCTCGATTGTGTATGTATAATTCCTTATTATATTTGTCGAGACGTACTTACACGCGTGGGCAATAATAGAATACAGTTTGCGCTTTTGTTGGTTAAAGAGGTGTTTCTTTGTGTGCGAGCGCGAGAACGAAAGGTGTATTCACCTCTGGCTGTGAGTGCCAGAGAGGTCGCCGGGAACATTATTATAATTCTTAATGCGAGCTTTATTAAAAGCATTTTAAGTTTGCACCACGCCTTTTGCACACCGGGAGAGCAAGAAGTTGCAGAGTTGCATTAATGTCAAATATACATTTCATTTTTATTCGGAGAGTTTTTAAATTAGAAATTACGCTAATTGTCTATCAGTTTAGAGGTATTTGCAGTTTCATTAACTTGTAACTAAGCAAATCTAGATTATATTTATTTGTGTAGTAGAATTTCCAATCACCATGGAATTTTCAAATTTTGTGTGTAATTATTAATTGGACTAAATTTTCTTGTTTAAATATGTCTCATGTCATCTATATGGGCAGCAGAAAAGGGCAATTCAAGTCCAATTTCTATTATTGGCACTTGTTGGCAGACGCGGATGTTTGAACAAGTGAGAATTGTTCCTGCAAAAGTCAAACGGCGTGTGTTTGCAGATCGTCCAGTCGGCGGCAGCCAAGACGTTGGAAACGAGACGATCGACTGCCGCCGTGTGTTTGTTTGCTTTGCAGACGAGAGAAGTTTGCGGTCGAAGGCACGGTGCGAGCGCATCCATCGGAAGCGCCTTCGAAGTTTGCATAAACAATCGGCGGCCGCTTCAATGCCGACCTTGCGGTCTATTTCTGGGAGCACCGGGGCCGAACTAAGTACACAAAGTAGAGGGTGTTCGGCTACGACGGGGGACGAGATGTGCGCATTGTATTTTCAAGGGACCGCCGCCAACGGTGAGAGTAAAATTATATCTCTAAGAAACTGAAAAATGGAATTAATAAGGAAGAAGTTAATCTAAAAATGAATTCATAACTTTGAATTAAAACTTTTACTTGGCTTAGAAATTAAATAAAAAAAAATGCAAAACTTGTATTTTTTCTGAATTAAGTTACATAAAATAAAACCCTACAAATCAGAGAACATAAATATTTGCTTATTTACCTCTCAAATTACTAAAATTATACAAGAAAATTCAGTTTTTTACTTATTTGCTGTGTTGAAATTGTTTACAAATGTACACCAATTTGCAGTCAGTTTGCAACAGTTTTAATCACACATCAATTAAATTTTTGAATGTTTTTGAGTTGAGAACATTTTCAATTTGAAAGAATTTTGAACATAATCTAAATCTTAGGAGAAAAAAAAAATGATTAGAAATGCTTGAGACTGTTGAAGATTGGCGTTGTTCCCCGTTTGAAGAGATGAGTTGAGGGAGGAGGAATGCATGCCTCGCGGTCCCGGCCGGGCGCGCCCTTTGTCATGTCCAATTAACCTCGGTGCTGCTTTTGACTCGGCCAGGCTAAGAAGCAGCTCATCCTTTGTTGTTGTCCTAGGCCGCGGCGTCATTATTGGGGTTGGCTCTCTATCTTTGTACCGTGCATATTATGGTAGGTAGGTGTACACAAGTCAGTTTTTGCCCGTTGGTTAACGCTGCATGCGTCCAATTATCATTAAGGCAGGTTCGCAGTCCGCTCAACCGTGGGCAAAACTAACTTTGAAAATAATGCTCACTCGCCAGAATTAATTGCTCTCGTATATACGTGTGTTTATTAAAATTGCGAAATTTCCCGCAGGTTTCGTCAGACGAGAGTCAGGTGAGGACTAGTTTTCGCAACTTGGAAAATGAGTTTCTGCGAGGATATCTGGGACGTTTTTGTGGTACTCTGTGTTTTCTAAATTAAAGAATATTAATTAATAAAAGATTTCTTGTGATTTTACAAAAAAATGTAATAAACCAGAAGTGAGGATTGATAAAAAAATATCATTAGGAAATATAAGAAAATTCCTTAAATTATGAGCTTTTCCTCTAAATTCTGACGTTAATTGTGAAAAGGTAAGAATTTTACAAAAATAGAAAAAAAACTTGCCCAGAACTGATCTGGAGAGCGAAATTTCGTTGATATTGTTAATATTATTGCTAAATATTTTTGTCATATTCAAAATATCAAACTGATTTACAAATTTTTCTTTGATCAACCATGCTAATTTTATTAAAGGCTTCAATAATAATGATAATTTTTAATAAATTCATTTAACTTATTTTCTGTTTTGTTTCAGTTAGTGAATTTCTTAATTTTATAGACAAATTTAACTTAAAAATATCTTTCACTCAGCAAATATATTCTTTTTGTGGTGTCAAAGCGAAATTTTTCATCAAGTATCCTCATGATCAGTTTTCCCCCTCTTGTTTATTTCTTGCTTTCCTCACGAACCCAGTATTTAAGCAATAAAAAAGTCCCCTTGGATTAAAAAAATCTTTATTTAAACTCTGAATAAAAATTACATCAATATCAATGACGTTGCGCACATTTGTTCTCAATTGGCCGGTGCACAGGGAGGCAAAATAGCATTATCAGGCGTAAAAGTCATCGGTTGGTACGAAAACAGGTCAAGTGCGAATCTCCTGTTGCGTTTGTTTCGTTTGATTGCACTTTGTCATTATCAGCGTGTTTTCCTCCACGGTCTCTCTATCAGCGTCAGCAAGGGGTCCTGCACTGCACTGACGAGGGATAATGCATCGCCCTGCCGGTTGCATAAATATGTAATGGCCGGCGAGCACCGCGGACGGCCGGTGTCTGGGGGGTTGAGCCAGCCAGCCGGACGTGCATTCGTGACATTATGTCCATTCGCGCGACAAGATATATACTATGTGCATGTGCGACGTTATGGTATATATACGACCAAGCGCTCTCTCAACGCTGCGCCACCAATATAATGCATTATGTGTGCACTGCGAATTTTCCAGGGGCTTATTCAGACTGCAGGCCAAAAAATAATTAAAAAATTCCCAATTATTTGTCTGCATCAATTACAATTTTGTCATCCCGCGCCCTCAGATTTTTGCTTGCAAGCACACAAGAAAAAAAAACAAAATACATTTAGTATGCTCTCTCACTTGATATTCAATTTTAATTACTATAATTACAAAAATAAATTGAAAAGCTTTGGTGCAAAATATGCAAATTTTATTAACAAAGGATTGTGAAATTCTACACAAAACTTTGCGAGACTTTGATATTTTCTCAATAGGAATTCTTACTTTTAGGGATTTTTCTTTCAAAATGTTTGTCAATTGAAGAGTGCAAAAGTCTTCCAACCACGCTAAAAATCATACATATTATTTATCGTACGTAATGAGTTCAACGAAATGCGATGAGTTTAGGTGTTGAGATTGAAATTTTTTAAATGTAAAAGTTAACATATGTTTTATATTGTTGTATCTGTTTCTTTGCAGGATTCAATTTTCCAACTATTTGGAAACACAAATAATGTTTTGATCTGTTAGGAATCAAGTTTCAAGACACGCCACTGGAGCATGTGCGGAATATAGTCGGTGGTGAGACGGTTTTTACAACCCTCGGTGGACACTGCACGGACGATTATAAAAATATATTTCGAAAATGTCAGTGGCCACGGGTATACGTATCGATTTCCAAGAGAGACTCTGTGATGAACACCCTGCCGTATCTCTCTCTGTCTTTCTCTCGCTTGCACAAAGCAAAAGCCTCTGTGTGTGTGTTATTGCGATATGCTGTGAGCATTTTTAATGTGATGAAAAATAATGTCGGAGTGAGACGTAAAATATAATATTCAAGATATAAATTTTTTCGTCGGCGGCAGTTATTTTTACTTTGAAATTGCGAAATGCGTTCACAATATCTTTGGCGTCAACAAAAGACACCACTGAAATATCGGCGCGCGCTGAGAGGAAATGGAAATCATTTTTCCTCAAATTTAATATATTATATCCTTGCGTCACTCGCACAGACGGAAATGCAACTTTTGTATGCATTTATGCAGCTGTGTGAGTTTACAGAAGCGAGAAGAGAGGAGATTGTGCCTGTCTGAAAAATTAATTGTGAGGGATATATCACGCGGCGCAAACACACACATCAAAACTCTTTGTGTCCGCCGAGGAGTGAGGAAATGAGAATATTCATTTCTCATCCACACAAACTTCTCATCAGTGTGAAAAATGATTAAATATCTTTAAATGTAGGAATAATTTACTGGCGTGTTTATATGAAATTCAAGTCAGTAGTGAATTATGACAAAATTTCTTAAATATTAATTTGAAACTTTTTCATTGTCAATTTTGCATAATTATGCTATTTTGCACTACACATAAAATTTTATGCCACTTATATTCTAAAAATTAATCATTTTAAAAATAGTATCTTTTAATTTAAACATTATCTGGTGGCAATATTATTAATTGATTTTTAGTCATCGGGAAGTTTTTCAGAAATAGAGGTACCATAATAAACTGATTTTTTTTTCAAAAGTTTAATTTGGATTAAGGTGAAGGAGAAGGAAAAATTGCACTGAAATTGATTGTGGGCTCAAAAAGTACAGGATTTATGTTTTTTTAATAATAAGTGAAATTCATCCAAATTCTTTCTTATCCGTTTTTTTTTTGTTTCTTTATTATATGCAAATCAAACCTTAGAAAATTAGCTTTTCTTCACCATATTCAATACATTTCATCATGAATTTACTCGTTTAATTTTATTTGAAAAATTCATATTCCAATCAAAGCCTTTTTTGCAAAGGAATCATAGAGGCCGGTGTGTAATGAAATTCACCCCATAGCTATGCAAATACCTCTGAATCGTCGACCCACCTACCGGTCAGCGTGTGCCGAGGAATGTGCACTCCAATTAAATTGCACGCATTATTTGTGAATTATCGGTTGCGGAGGGCTGCGGGCGTGAGCCGAGTGAGTGACCTGCCATGGAATTGCTGCTTGCGCTCGATGTTATTAATTATCGCAGACGGAAATATTTGCAAATTCCGTTCGGTTCATAGACACATTTGCGCAGCACCAAAGCCGAAAATCAAACATTGCTGCAGGCACGTGGCACTCTCGGCTTTGAGTCTACACAGCTTTGTCCGTGCACCTGGGAAATTGCAGATCAAAGAGTTAAATATCAGTTTGCTTCACAGATATAAACTTACGCACACCTAGATTTTTTTTATTAAACCTATCACAAATTATTGTTTGATTTATTTAAATAATGCACTGCGACGGTGTCGTTTCTTCTAAAAATCCAATATTTCTCTCCCAATAACTGTTTTTATCAATGCATGATTTTTTCATAGAAATTTTGAAAATTGTTAACAAAATAATATTAGTCCAGAAATTAAAACAGTATGAATCGCAAAATTTTTGTCAACGGAGGTCCAATTTATCATTTTTTAATACTTTAATGATATAAATAATAAATTTTAAATAATCACAATTTAAAAGTTTTAATATAAAATCGTGTATTGTAAAAGTAAATTAATTAAAAGAAATACTCTAAATTGTAATATATTGTAAACATTAATTTTTAAATTGTTTACAGATTAATTCAATGGCATGGCTAAAAGACAACTTTAAGAAAGAAAGTGTCCAGCACAGCTCGTCGGTAGAGAGCATTTCATTAAAGTGGCTATCACTCAATCTCGCCGCTCACGTGTTCTAATTGTGTGTAATTCATCAACGTGTCAAGTGCATACAAAAATGAGTGCGCGCAGTGCTACGGCAGGCTAATGCATTTTGTGGTTGAACGACCTCAACTTCGCTCGCACCAAACGAGCGTGGAGCACGGAAAGCGTCGGTAAAACGAAAATTGTAGTAAACCATTCCTATTTAAAAAATTTAAATTCTCTCATATTTCCGTGTCGGTGCATTTGCGAGAGAGAAATGTAAAAAAAGTAGCAAACTTTTGCTGCTCTTCTCTCTCTGGCAGTCTGATATGAAAGAGGAGCGAGTCAAAGGCCATTTATATACATTTTTCTCTCTCACTCTTTTTCTCCCTGAATACAAGGGAAAAAAACAATGCAGCTCTGTCACACGAGAAGACACACCAGAAAAAACTGCATCTCTCTCTTATGAGCTGCCGGCGTCGTATGTGTATGAAAATAGAGCCCGAGTGCGTCGTCGTCTGCTTTGAGGGTGACACACTTTGATAATGCTCGACCCACTTTTGTTCTCGTCTGCATCATTTAAGTCTATTAAACTTTGATATACAAGACACAATGGCTGGTGTGCGCCGCCCCTTGAGCGTCTCTGATGTTGCACGCGCGCTCACGGGGAATTTCTTCTCTCTATATATTATCTGTCGCGTCCAAGACAAAGCGAGTTTGTTTTCTAATTAGACAAATGGAAATGCATGCAGAGGCACTTTTGCATGTATATTAAAATTAACTTGTTTGTTAAGGAAAGCTGCGTGCTTAAATTCAAAGTTGAAATTTTGCATTGCCTTATTTAATTTTTCAATGTTCAAACAATTTACATATTACATGTTTAGTAATAATTAATCAGCTTACGCAAGCAGTGGGTCGATGGATTATTAAATTTGTTAATTATTTGAGGTTTCAAAACAATAATTATTTCAATTTGGTTTAATCTACTATTTTAAAATATTAAAATCTTCTCCATAACTTTATTACTTCAAAGGACCTTAAGTGTCATAAAAATCAATGAAACATTCCATAGTTTTATTAATATAACAAAGTCTAAAAAAGTTGTTCAAATCAACTTGTTAATGCTTTGTTTGTATTTTAATAACAAACATAAAGTTTTTGTTTCTAAATGAACACAACATAAAAAATTTATGGTTACTGATTGAAAAGATATTTAGTTCAACTCTTTCATAATGTAGTTAGAAGACTGTC